CTCATACCTTGCTCCGTTCTCACCTGGACTTAGAACCGGTAACGGCACAGACGAGATCTTTACTTTAACGTGAATACCACTGAGCAAATAATTAACAACACATGAATTCAGTGTGGCCAGCCGAAATATGGGTTGCAAGTCGTTTACCTTGAATCTTTGCCATTTACGTTAAAGAACACGCAGATTCCAGGAAATTATTCAAAATTAATGAATCATCGATTGCAAGAATTAGATATCACTAGTTTTGTTAAAGGCAGTTAAAGCCATCCTTCTTTCGTTTGAAAGTGACCTTAACCCATTGTGCAACACTCTCAATGCCCGTTTCCGGATTGCTCTCACAGGCGCTTCTGACTACTAAAATTTTCAATTATGGCAAATCCATGTACTCCTATAGAGTTTAGTGCTTCAAGATGTTTGCCATATGTTAGTGCATTGAAATTTAATGGCAGACCCGGGAACGTCGGATACCACGTGTTCGTTCTGGCTATACAGTTCCACGGCAAAAGCTTTCTGCCTCTAACACTAGTGTAATTAAACTACTTTGTAATAAGTTTTATATGATTATCTGGTGATTTATCAGCTTCAGTATAAAATTCCATTCTTTTAGGCGTACATAGGTTGCTGTGTGGGAATCAGTCAAATCGGTGCAGTCATGACATGCTTTGGAGTCTGTACAGCAGTGTGTTCTTTCCTCTTCGGACCTCTTATTCGTCTGTTTGGCAGAATGCCCCTGTTTATGTTTGGAGGTGTAGTTGACATGCTGATGATTTTCACGATGATCATATGGCCTCCAAATCCTGCAGACGAAGCTATCTTCTACGTAATCGCAGCAACATGGGGTATGGCAGACGCTGTTTGGAATACACAAATTATTGGTATGAACAATTAAGACAACATTTTAATATGAATATATGTATGTTACTCGATTGATTCGCTTTTCAGCGCTTTGGATCATGTTATTTTCACCGAGTCTTGAAGTTGCTTATGCCAATTATCGACTTTGGGAATCTGTTGGTTTTCTTGTCGCCTTCGCCTCTTCTGCTTACCTGGCAATAGAAATGAAACTTTATGTTTTGCTGATATTTCTTCTAGCAGGGATGGTAGGTTATGGTTTAATAGAGTTCTGGATTCTAGTCGAGGTAGACGCTACATTTGCCCTTTGAAAATCAGGTAATTTCGATGAAATTTTAGGCATTACAAGCTAAGCTCAAACGCACATTTGGCAAACACCGACGATAGACAGATTGCTTCCCTGACAGTGGCACTAAAGAGTGGCCACTAAAGCAGTTCTGGACGTCAGGGATAGCAGATTTGATGGAAACAGGAAATATGGCCCTTTTGCAAGAAACTGTGTGATTTCTGTAAAGGCAACATATTTAGTAGCTGCTGATTATACATTGTTATTAATCATGCATGAATTTATACTTTTAATGAGTTGTCTGTTGTAGCATAAAATGCACTGTAACTTTTTAGCCATCTTCTAACGAAGCCACTACAATAGATGACACCATCTGTAAAGAAAGAGAATGGTATGAACCTAAGTTTAAGGCGTGTTTGTCTTGAATTTTTTCAATGACCAAAAAATGGCCGTTTGCATAAATGTTTCATACATGTAAATGCACAAATTCAATGATTTCAGATTCACTGGTAATGCAACATAATATCGACAACTGAATTTTCAAAATTTGGCCATGGCGACTAGTAGTTCTTAACCTCGTCATCTTTTAGGTATCTCATATATCGATTATGTCAGCTCACTAGTTTCCTAGCGTAACTCCGTTTGGCAGAATTCCTAATACAGCAACAAATCGTCTGTAACTTTGGCAGTGGCTCGCTCGTATGCTGTCATTGTCACTGTGCAATCACCAGTAAGAATTGCACAGCATCAGCCGTTTTCCTGGTAAATTAGCGCCGCTCTACCGAAAAGCCATTCTCCCAGCCTCAACGGGCATCCTCCGCGATTGCAACTCCGTAGCAGCATTACCTGCCCGTGCTCATGTCAAAAATTTTTGCTGCCGTGTAGGCATATTAACTAACTAAGATAATCATAAAAATAGCTTTCCTACGTAACAAATTTTTGATTCAAGGTTTATAAGCCTTTTGGTGCATGTTGCAAAATTGAGTTTTCCTGTCATTTCATTCAAGTTATAACAGACGACTTTATAAATTGTCATGCAAGATATTTCCATCTACATTTCCACAAAAAGATCGCGCATTACGCCATAAAACTTAATGATATGAATTACTTGACTCTTAATCACAAAACGTTTTCTCATAAATTTCAAACACTGCCCCTTGATAGAACGCAATACTGGAAATGGAACAGGGAAATCTCTTCGCCTCATTGAGAACGACTAAGGTGACTCAATCGAGAGAGGACTTTACTGAAATTCTAAAGATCGTAGATGTAAGTTATCGCCACAGCAATCGTCTTTCATACTTCAGCTCTTGACAGCCAACGCGTTCTATTTTCCATGCTTTTGCTTTTCGGTGCTCTAAGAACGTGTTTATAAGAAACAATTCATTATTTGTTTTCAAAGGCGTAACAGTTTCATGCTCTTATTATTGGCATCGCTAGTGCCGTTCTTTCCAACCGCCCGTTTACGTTTTTCGATGTCTGTTCAGATGTGCGCATTTAAATCTTCTGTTAGAATCATGAATTCCTTAATCTACCTTCATACGAGCACTTTCACTTCCTTCAGGAAGAACTCATATTCACAATGAGAATTGAGTGCAAGGGCAAGCCTTAGCCTGTTGTAACTCAGATGACTGTTAACAGACTTTCATTCAACGACTCTGTCAGACAGGTTGAGTTCTATCCGAACATCGATACCAATGACCGCAGGTCGTGAAGTTAACATGTGGATTGAATAATTTCCTCCCGCAGAAGATCAGAATTCTATGACCGTGACGTTTCGCTAACGAAGATCCAACTTTCATAAATTAGGACTTTGCGGCCTCGTCAACTTGTGTCGGCTTTATCACTCCAAGTGAAAGATGTAGTTTTGAACTGTGAAACAAAACTATTGATATTTTTCCCGTGTAACCTCATTTATTATGGCACGCGCTGTGTGCATTTTTGGTTTGGAACTATTAGCCAGCCCTTCCCAGATTGGCATCATTTTAAATCTTCAAGTACGCTAGCTGCTGCCGGAATTGGTAGAGCAGGTTCTGTTCAGCTTCTTTGCAGCCTGCGGAGCCCTTGCTAATGCAGTAAGCCGATATAATGTTGAATCACGTCAAAAACACAGTTGAGAAGTTGCTGAATTTTACGAGTTTTCGCCAAGGTTCCCTATTCTTCTTCTATGTAATCGGGGGCTTAAAGCCTGCACTGACAGTGCTTTGCGTTAAAGTGAAAGCGCACAAAAAGAAATTATAACAAGAAGGTTACATACATGAATAGACTATGAGCACATAGAACATGGTTAAATTAAATGATTTCAGGAAGGCAGCGCGACTAAGCCAGATGCCATTGATTATGTTCAAGATGAATTACTTTTTTGGAAATTAGCATGTTCATTAACATGTACATGCCATAACAAAATGTTAATTATTATCTGTCGCAATGTTACAGTGTTTACATTGAAGGGCATTTTTGCTTATTAAACGAGCATGTAAGTTGATCGAATGAAGGACACACGATGATGTCACATGTATGCTATTAGAACTATTACTGTAATGATGTCACAATGCAAGTGCTCAGATATCGTTTTATTTCAGAATATTTAAAGGAGTCCATAGGCCGTAGTTTGTGGGAACAATTTAACTTGAGAAAGGTGTGCATAACGAGTTCTAGAAATCAAACGTCTGTATTAATCAACGAAATTGCGTAAAAGTTTTATTCTTTTCAAACTTCTTTAGAACAGAAAATAGTATGCATGTCGGACGAAAAATTTTTGTGGATAACACTTAATAGAATATATCAGTAAATGAATAGCAAATCTTATACAATCTTGATATCGTAGTTAAAATATTTTTGGTTTGCAATCCCTATACGTAGAGCGAACTCTAAATACGTTGGATATCTTGTTCTTGACAGACTAAGGCACCTATAAGGGGATCTTGCTCTTTTATACAGTAATAGTAAAAATCAGGTACGTTTCGTATATTTCATCATTCCTTTCCTACGTGGTTATTTCGAATTAACATTAAAAGCGAAGTTGTGGCGTTGCCTTTTGACGGATGGTAAATGTTGGACTATTCTTAGGTAATTGCAGCTAGCTGCACTCTCACTCTAACTCGTTGTGCTTCTGCTTGATCATGAGTTAGTGTCATGATATTATTCACCGTATCCTAGTTCCGGGTGATATCCTGAGATGTGGTAGAGATCAGTTTTTCATTATACAAGTTGCGGAACTATTGGCAAATAATGTTCCACATTTACATACAGAGAAGGTCCAAGTATTTGAGTATTGTGGTTCTACGAAGGCATTATGCTGCTTAGGTGAAAAGTAGTTCGTTTGACTTAATTGTACGACTGTCGATCGTTTGAAAACTTAACAGCATTGTATGCCAGTCTATTTTTAACAGTTGTTCAGAGGGTTAACTACGCAGTGACAAGATTTAATCATGATTTTTCTGCGGTTAGCCATAGATCGTTCCAGCTGTTCTTTGTGGCATGTGGTTACAGGTATACCTAACATCTATTCGATCGCTCGACACTTCGTCGGTTAGGGTTCAAGAATCAGCTGACCGTTTCTGTCTGGTTCCTGACGGACTTTCATAAATGAAGTGCGTACGCTCCATGACACTTCGAGTTCGTATAAGTTATTGGACTTTGATCGTTGTTTGGTGTGTACAACGTTAGCAGAATGATTCTTAAATTTGCAGCCCGTAATGGGATACACTGATTGTTGTTTTTGGCGAGTTGCAATCTCAAGGCATTGCGTACTCTTTATCGAAATGCAAAATAATGTTGATCATCAACAAATATAATACCGTGCAAGTACTTCTTTTTGAAAACAGTTTTAGGGTATAATTTCGATGAGATCGTTTGACTGATCTTTCTGTAAATGGGAAGTGATTTTGACGCCGTTATCATATCATGAAATCTTGACTAATAAACGCGAAAGGTTGTATAAGCTTATCAGAATCGGAAGATAGTTCTAACGACCGTAATGGCACAGTTGCCTTTCTAGGAACTCGTTGGCAGTCGTTTCTGAAAATCGCTATCAGTTACAGCTCGGTTGCTATCAAACGACGTTGGATGAGTAAAGCGGAGGTTCTAGCTGCGATCCAGTCGCAAGGCGACATCGTGCGCAAATTGAAGGAGAATCACGGAAGTTCAGAGGAGGTACACTGAATTTGACTCATTTTTGAGCAACTGAATCTGAAAGGTATCAACTGCCGTTGTTTATTTCTAGATCCAACTCGAACTGACCAAACTTAAAGAGTTGAAATGCACGTTGGACGAACTGTGTAAGAAGGCTGCTTTAAAAACACCCAAGGTTATATTGCGCTTTATTTACCAAAGGAACTATCCACTGTTACTTTAGGGAACACGGGATTATGGCCCGAAGGAGATGGCCATTCGTGAACAGGTGAGTGTAAAATTTCAGTAGTATTCGATGTTGTCGGTCTAACTTCATTTTCGCGAAGTTGATAGTACGGTAATGATCTCCGTTTTTATGTCATCAGCCAGAAGTGCCTTATTTTTTAGACAGAGTCT